ATAAGCCAGCAAATGGGAGATCTCTCCCTCCTACTCTACTCTCTCCCTTTCAAGTAGATAATTTTTTTAAAGTTTCAGTACTTTCCCAGACCTTATCTTTATGTTGTGCTTTACAGTGTAAGCACTTTTACCTAGATTGTTCATTTAATTCCTCATTATACCCCAATACTGTGAGCAGACGGTGTTAAATATGTATGATAAATGAAGAAAATGGAGACTAGAGTACATAACCAAAAGGTAACAGAGCTAGCCAAAACCAAACCTCAAATCTCTAAGTCTGTTGCTCTTTTCAAGTCTTTGTATTCATTGCCAGGAAATCCTTTTTATTTTATTTACTGAGTAAGATAGAAGCTCACTGTATTTCTGCTTTGGGGGCTTGTGTAAGGATTATAAAATCTGTGTTGCAATCTGTAAAGTAATTTTAGACCCATCTACCTCCTAAACTGTAGAATCACAAGGCCTAGGTGGACCTGCCTTCCAAAGAATTCTGTCACTTAGTCACACAAGAGAAGAACCAGGGTATCCCATAACTATTTATTTATTTGAAAGGCAGAGCAACAGAGAAGGGAAGAGACAGAGACAAAGAGAGGATCTTCATTCACTATTTCACTCCCCAGATGACCATAACATCCGTGTCTGTGCATGAGTCAGGAACTCCATCCAGTATCCTACACGGGTGGCAGGGGCCAAGTACTTGGGCTGTCTTCTGCTGTCTTCTCAGATGTATTAGCAGAAAGCTGGATCAGAAGCAGAGCAGTGGGCACTCGAAACAGCACTCCGATACGGAATGCCAGCATTGCAGGTAGTGGCTTGGCCCCTTGTGGCCCAATGCTGCCCCGTCGTGTAAAGTAGGTAGTATATTGGTAATGGTGATAGCCATGTCACCTACTTCTTAAATACAATCACAGGAGCCCCCTAACGTAACCAACTCCTATGCCAGGGACCTAACCCATGGTAAGACCTGCTTTGTGTGTGTTTAAGTAGAGCGGTCTGCTTTATGCATGCTGGTCTCAGCAGAGGCCTCTGTAATCTTGAAGGGTAGGTGCTGGACAGTCCATTTTTCTACACGTCAGACTAATATACTATTTACTGATCTCCAGAGGAACAGAGAGTATTTGAACAGATTGACAATTATGTAAAAAATAGCAGTAGCTACACTTCTTAATTTTTTAGTCCCCATAAAACACAATTTTCCAAAGACATCCAGCTGACATAGATATTAGCATTACAATGTGAAAATGCAGAATGCCTGCAGCAAGTGTCTGAGGCGGCAGCTCACTGGCCTTCCCTTCTTCTCTGCTTGGGACACACTGTCCACACTCCAGCTTCTTTTCCCTCTCCTCCCTCTTCCAGTCCCTCTAGCCTGATCTCCACTCAAACAATAATCATGACTGCCCTGACAGTCTTATTATATTCCTCGTTCCTCTTGGCTGGTGGTTCTCAATTAGGAGTGATTTTTCCTGAGTGGTATTTGGCAATGTCTGGAGACATTTCTTGTTGTCACAACTGGAGGATGGACAGTTATTGGTCTCTAAGGGATAGAGGCCAGGGATGTTTGGGAAAACATCAACAATGCACGGGGCAGCTCCCTAACAATGAGGGATATAGCCCAAAGATTAAGAGGCCCCAGCTGAGGAACCCAGGGGCTGCAGCTCGTGCTTGTGGTTCTAGCTAGCCCCTCTGTGTCACATCCTTCTTCTCTGTCCTGTAGACTCGGGCCTGCAGCTCCAGGGCAGAGAAGACAGCCCTGGCAGGACTGCAGCCCGTTCCTACGGTTGCATCAGGACTCACACACATAGAATGTTCATATGTAAAATATATGAGCACCTAGTTGTATTTCTGTGATTGGGCCCTGCCTGACACTTCCTCCAGAAGCCACTGTGTAATGCCTCATCAATAAAGTTATTGATGGCTTAGGCAGAGTTTGTGGTGGGCCTCGGAACATGGGACACCAAGAATCCAGTGCCGTAGAATTCTCCATCTTAGGCGGTAGTTTTCCTACATCAGAGACTCCAAGGTGAATTAGATCCATCACCCCACTGAGTGACCAAGGACCTTTCAGCATGGAGCAATAAGCTCATATACAGCACAGCGGGGGGGAGAAAGCAGCCCAGTGTGGATGGAGGCAGAGGGAGCGGGAAGAACCAGGGCCAGGGGCACCGCCGGGCAGGAGCCCTCTGCGGAACGTGGGACAGGCAGAGTGCAGTGGATCCCGAGAGCAGGGAGCGCAGAAGCTGGAACTCCCGTGCAGTAATAGGAGCAGATGTCCACACAGCGGGCAGTTAGCGTTTGGAAATGTGCACCCCAGCTTCCTTGCTGTCCCGGATACCAATGATCCAGATGTTAATCGGAGTTAGAACAAGCATTAAAGGTGATATTTCAAGGAATGTTGACTTCCCACGTGCACAGCCCACCAGGGACTCGCAGCCTCTTGGTGGGCTGAAGCTGAGATTCTGGACACTAAGAATTCCCCTTGGGAGCCCAGTGACAAAGGCAGGACTACAGGAAACCTCCAGACAGGTCCGGGTGGTCTCCCGTGGTCCTCACTGCGAGTTAGCCTCGGGTCGTGGAATGTTGAGAAGACACGGCCAGGGCGGGAATGAGAGGAAGCCTCCTGGCAGGTGCCTGTGGCGTATGGTGCTGACCCTCAGGAGAGCGACCTAGAAGGTGACGGCTCATCCAGAGTGAGAGCAAACAGCACAGGAGGACGACTCCCACCTCGCACTCACTGGCTAGCTTTGCCCTTTGTGCTTCTGTTTTGTGTTTGGATTTTTTTTTTTCCTTTTTTCTTCTTTTTGCTAACAGGGGAGAGGTCTGAAAGCAAGTTGCTGCTTGGACCGCTAAAGAAAACATCTTCCCCAGAGTCAGTACTGCTTTCCCGTGAGCATCCCACGTCCCCTGCATTTTATGTCTGACCCATCCCCGGCCGTGGTATCCGGGCCTGGGGCTCTTGTGCCCGTTTCCAGAGGCAGCGAGGTCTTACAAGCTTCATCAGGAAGAGAGTTCCCCTTAGCTCTGATTTCCACGTTCCTTCTGGGGTGTCCCCTTGGGGCTCTTCAGAGAACTAGTTCTCTTTCTGGGTAGCCGGTCTCCTGTTGGAGCAGACAGCGATTCCCACGTGTTACACAGAAAGAGACTTGATGTCCCAATGAATGAACCTCGAAATACTCAGTTACCTACAAAGTCAGGCCTGAGGAATTCTGAACAACCAAGGCTTTACGATATGTCGTCAAAGTAAAATAGAGTTTAGGTGAGCCTAATTGAAAAACTGTTTACATCAGGTTTCCATCAGTCAGCCGGTCCATGCGCGTTCTTGGTCGCCGCGGGTGCTGTGAGAGAGGCTCAGTCTGAGCCGCTGCCTCAGCACCCAGAGCCTCTCCCCACCCCGCCGCAGGTGTGATGTGGTGATTCGGTGCAGGGGCACACTGTGTCAGGCTCAAAGCAGGGTAGCCAGCATTTCCATCTCCTTACAGCATTTATCATTTCTTTGTATTGGAAACCTTTGAACTTCTCTTTTCTCGTTCTTTTTAAAAATAAATTGTTCTGGGGCTGGCATGATGCCAGCATCCCATGTGAGCTCTGATTTGTGTCCCAGCTGCTCTGCTTCAGATCCAGCTCCCTGCTGATGGCCTGGGAAAACAGCAGAGGACAGCCAAGTGCTCAGGCCACTGCCACCCACATGGGAGATCTGAACTGAGTTTAGACTCCTGGCAGTCATTTGGGGAGTGAACCAGCAGATGGATGAACTCCCTCCCTCTTCTTCCTTCTTTCTCCCTCTCCCTTCTCTTCTGTATATGTCTGGCTTTCCCTCTCTGTGTAGCTCTGCCTTTCAAATAAATAAATCTTTTTAAAAAATAGATTGTTATAGGCCGGCGCCATGGCTCAATAGGCTAATCCTCTGCCTGCAGGCGCCTGGCACACCAGGTTCTAGTCCCGGTCAGGGCACCGGATTCTGTCCCAGTTGCTCCTCTTCCAGTCCAGCTCTCTGCTGTGGCCCAGGAGGGCAGTGGTGGATGGCCCAAGTGCTTGGGCCCTGCACCCATAGGAGACCAGGAGAAGCTCCTGGCTTCGGGTCAGCACGCTGGCCGCAGCGGTCATTTGGGGGGGGTGAACCAACGGCAAAGGAAGACCTTTATCTCTGTCTCTCTCTTTCTCTCTCACTGTCCACTCTGCTTGTCCAAAAAAAAAAAGAAAGAAAAAAATATTGTTATAAACTGTAATCACCCTGCTGTACTGTCCAGTGTTAGAACTTACTCCTCCTGTCTATTTTGGTTCCTGTTATCTGACCTCTCTCTGCTTGCTCTGCCCCTACCCCTACCTCTTCCTGGCCTCTAGCGATCACTGTTCTATTCTCTACTTCAGTGAGATCAATTTTTTTGATTCCACTGTGAATAGGAACCAGTGTGCATCCTGGCACCTACCTTTCATGTGGTCACTTCTGAGTCTCCTTCCTGCCACACTTGTGATCTTTTGACCATGTTCACAGCTCCTTGTCCACACAGTGAGTGATTCTAAATGCACCATTTCTTTCCAGATATAAATATCAATCTAGTGCCCTTAGACCTGTTTTCTTTACATTGAAAAAAAAATTAGCATTATCTAGCACAAAAAAAGCAAAAAAGAAAAGAAAATATGAAGCCTAAGATGCTATTGTACATGGTTTTTCATTAAATGCTACTTATATGTTCAACAAAACCAGGAATTCTAGCTACACTAAAGTCATAAAGGGGGGGGGGCCCTTTGGACAGGGGAATAATCTTTCTAAGGCAAGATAGTTATTTTAATAGCTGCCCTGGGGGAAATGCAGATGAGGGCAAAGCTGTCCCAAATCAGCAATTAGATACATCGTGGCAGAGCAGGATTCCTTTTCAAAAATGCCGCAGCTCCACCAAGAACTGAATAAAAATGATTGTGCCTGTATATTTTCTTGACCGATGCTCTTGCAGCTGTGAGAGTGTGACGCACACTGAGCCAGCCTCTTCTGTGTCCTGTCTCCACAGCGCCAATCTGTCCAAGGCCGCCTGGGGCGCGCTGGAGAAGAACGGCACCCAGCTGATGATCCGCTCCTACGAGCTTGGGGTCCTCTTCCTCCCTGCTACATTTGTAAGTTCACACTTCGGCTGCCCACGTGGTCACACGTGGAACTGGTTGGATTTTTGTGTTCTCTGCCCTTAGTCACAGTCTCCTGCCTGGGGCCAGGGGGTGGGAGTAGCAGAATTGGGATCTAACCCAAAGCTAAGTTCTTAACCAGTGGGCCACGCTGATGAACTTACTGAACATTCACTAACGGGGACACAGCAGGCTCCGATCCTGCCCTCAAGGCACGGACCTGATTACGGTGAGGTTACACCAGTGCTCCCACTGCCGGTGCTGCTCACGGTGAGGTTACACCAGTGCCGCCATGGATCTGGGGAAGCATGGTGTGAAGATTTCTCACTGGGAGTAACAAGTTGCCAAAGGAATGACCTAGCCCAACACAGGACATCATGGGCTGGGCTGATTGGAGGATGCATTTGAGAAACAGCTCAGGGTAGGGGCTTGAGAGGTATGTAAGGTTTAGATACCGGGAGAGGAGGGGAGCATCACTACACCTGGAAAAGGAACTGTTAACACACACTGAGAAGCAGAGGCACGCGCATCATAGGCTAGAGTTCAGCAGTTGCCAAGGACACCTGCGACTTGTCCAGTGAGTCCCCTGGAAAGGTGCCGTGTTGGAACATCTGCTCCTCTGATGTCCAGCACCGGCGGCTTGTCTCCCAGCTTGCCATGCATGGCTCAGAAAGTGGCTGGCTTCTGGGTAGGGCCCAGGTTGTATGAGGCTTTTGGTTCTCTAAACAACAGAGTCTTAGATGGCCCAGAGAGACAGGCTCTATCCGAGGTCTCCTGTCTCACCTCATCTCACCCCAGGCACACGTGCAGGTGGAACACAGTCAGAACTTCTCACACTGTGAGTTGGTTAATATTTTTTATTCCTTTTCCACCATGTACTATATTTGAATTTACAATAAATGCCTACAGCACAGCTCCTGTGGACCAAAAGATTTTGCTAAGGGTGTCATGTACTTGTCATCAGACTTGAGTCTGGAACCCACTAGCTACAGCAAAGTACAGGCTTCAGGCAGGTGTGCAAGTACCTCTGCCCGCCTCCAGCGATCCTCACGCTCACCTCCCGCCGTGCGCAGCTGCGGCTCCTCCCTGCCTTTCCTTCACCACCTCGGGCCAGTTCCTGTCCATCACAGGAGTCTCACTGCAGAACTGTGGGACTGGTCCCTTGAGGGTGGTGCCCTGAGATATCAGCGCTTTTTGTGTTTTTATCCAGAGGAAAGCAAAGCAGATCTGCATGCTGCTCAGAATAAAGATCACGGCTCCTACTGCGCTGTTACCCTGCCCTGTAGACGAAGGAGGGGCCTTGCGCAGCCAGAGCGGGCTCTGTCCCACAGCCCTCAGTCTTCCCCCTGATACCCCCAGAGTCTCTCACCGTTACAATGCTCTGGGAAGCAGTGAGTTCACAGTGCAAGGGTGACAATAATTCACTGTGGTTACAGTGACTGTGGCTTAAACTGAGGGCGGAATTATCTCCCAACAGTAACATAAGTAACACAGTGTGTTCCACACTACTCTTGTTTGGCTTTTGTGACCAGCACCTGTAGAAATCCTGGTGTTTTGTCAGTGTCCTAATGTGATCCCTGGTTGCGAAGAGGACGGCAGGAGAGACATACTGCTCCTCCAGGCCCTCTGGGCCCCTCTGAGCTGCTCCTTTGTGCTTCAGGTGTTGTCTCTGTGCCTGTAGTAGAGAAGACTTGGAGAAAGCGGGAACAGTCGTGCAGAATCCCCAGCTGGCTTGGTCCTGGTCTCTCGTCTCGTGTCTGTACTCTTGGAATAAGAAGGAGCCTCCAGGCAGTGCTTTCGAGTGAAATAGAGATCCCAGTATTTATGAAGACCATCAGACAGGAATATAAAAAAAAGATTCCACCCCCGTCCGTACTGTTCCAACAGGCTGGCCCCAACCTGGATGCCTGTAACTAGCAGACTGCCTAGGAAGGTAACAGGCTCCCCAGCAGTCTGTGGGCATCTCAAGGCTCAGAGCCTGGAACTGTTCTGAGCACCAGCTTCGTCCCTGGCACTGGTGAGGACACACACTGCCACTGTCTTGTCACCAGCCGTTTCCCCATTAGGCCGGGCAAGGTGCTGACATCAGGCACTGCAGTGGACAATACACAGATGTGTCCTGACCTTGCCCTCTCAAGGTCTACAGTCAAGTTGGGCAGGGTGGTCGTGACAGCCAGATAGACACCCTATTCACGGCTGATAGCACTGAAGGCGCCCCAGCTGCAAGCCTGAGTGGACAGAGCCCAGAAGCTGAGAAGGGCATTGGTGGTGTTTTGGTTTCAGCTCTGTTGAAGCCACAGACAGAGGGAGTTTATTGACAGGCTCCTGGGGGAATGTCATGGAATCCGGAGTTGTTAAACAGTGGAGCCTTACGAGGTTGGGGCCTGGCCAGGTCTGGGGGTGTGGCTCTGTGGCCCAGGTGCTGGCCATTGCCAAAAACGAGCTTCCACCTGTCTCCCAGACTTCTCCCACAACATTGGGCCTGTCGCCACAGATGAGAGAGTTGTTGGGAGGTGGACAGTCCCAGGGCATCCACCCTTGAGTTGGTTCTTGTCTTACCAGTCTGCAAAACATGACCTCAGGGCTTTGCAACAGAGGAGACTCGGTCTTCCAGCAACTGTGTCGCAGCGTCTGTGTTGCATGCTGTGGTGAGAAGCTGCTGGAAAGGAACTAGAGCTTTGCGTGACCTTCCAGTATTGACGCTGATGGTTGTGACTTTGAGGGCAGCCCAGAGGTCCGCGCCGTCAGGTGACTTGTCATTCTGCTGAAGTGGGGCGAGCACTGGAATGAGATGGTTGGCCTGTGCAGGAGCCCCTGCAGAACACAGCAGCAGTTTCTGCCTCAAACGTTTCTCAGATTTGTGAGTGAACATCCCAGTGGCCTGGGGTGACGCCTCCATGCTCATTTCAGCTCCACAAGCTGTGTGCAGAGCTGTGGCTGTGGAGCTGTGATTTTCATTCAGTGTGTGGTACTTGCAGTAGGCACTTAAATATGCCTGCAGATGGTGTTGTAAGCAGTCTGCAGTGTGGACCAGCTCACCGTAGCTGTCTTGCTGAAATTAAATCAATCAGTCTCTCTCTCTCTCTCTCTCTCTCTCTCTCTCTCTCTCTCTCTCTCCCTCCCTCCCTCCCTCCCTCTCTCCCTCCCTCCCTCCCTCCCTCTCTCTCCTCTCTCTCCTCTCTCTCCTCTCTCTCCTCCCTCTCTCACTCACTCAGGAGTCTCTAGCCAAGCCTATATATTCATTTAATAAATACCTTAAAGATTTCTGTATTGATCACAGTCTTTAAATGTTTACTGGTACGAATGCATTTTGTCCTTTTTTGGAGGTTTCTCCTTCAGGACCAGCCAGACACGCCCCCATATGTTTGCAGTTAGGCATTTGCAGGTGGACTCCCAGAGCAGGGTTCTGCCAGTGTCCCTCCGGCTGGGCATTGTCCAGGACCCAGTTTCTCCAGTTCAGCCCACCTTTGGCCTTTCAGGTAGAACTCCTTGTCCACACCTCCCACGTCTCTGTGTGATCAGCGCCCAGAGCTGCCGCTCTTGTCCTGCACCATCAGGCCATCTCGATCACCGTGTGCCAGTGTTGTGGACACCCGGGCCTGGCACAGTGCCCAGAGCCGCAGGGGCAGTCGCCTCTCAGGAGCCCTGCAGTTCCCTCCTTTCTCACAGCCCTGCTTAGGACCGGTCACTCAGCTGCCAAGTGAACTCTAGTAGATGGAGAGCCAGCGTATCCCATTCATAACAGAGACCTCTCGGGTTGATCTGCAAGCTAAAAAGTCCCTGGTAACTAAATACTGAATTGTTTCCATTTTTTGTTTTCTGCTTACTTTATTTGGGTAGATCTGTAAATGCTTTCTTTCAGGATCAACCTAACTTCCAGACAGAACATGTCATCCATTACTTTTCCTTTTTTAAAAAAGTTTTTTTATATCTTCATTTTATTTGAAAGAGTGGGGTCTCCCATCTACTGGTTCACTCCCCAAACAACCAGGGCGGGGCCAGGCCAAAGCAAGAAGGACTGAATGCTACCCGGGTCTCCCACGTGGGTGGCAGGAACTCAAGTACTTGAGCCATCATCTGTTGCCCCTCAGAACATACCTTAGCAGGAAACTGGATTGAAAGTGGGGTAGCCCAGGACCCAAACCAGGCACTCCAACATGGAACCAGGGGTGTTGTAAGCAGCGACTTAACCACTGTGCCCAACACCCACCCCGTAACTTTCCCTTTCCCTTTGATTAGGAATACATTCAAGAACTTTGGAGATTAATATCAAGATACATTTGACCTTGTGTATACTTAGTGATGTGTGATACATACTAGGTGCCTAATAAAACTTTTAATTTAAATCAAACTATTCTTTCAAGGTCTAACAATGTATCAGTTATTTTGTGTTTTCTCAGTAGTCCTATTGCTTTGGGTGTGTTGAACTTTTAACTTAGACTGTTTCATTTAGGTTTAGGAAAATCTCAATTTATGAGAGAGCATGATTTCAAAGATCAGTAGCAGTATTCTAAACCCTAAGGCCTCTGTGTGTACAAATATTTCTTTGAACCTTGTTCTGTTGGTGTTTATTGAGCACATCTATGTCTCAGGCACGGAGCAGACCCTGGACTAGAGCTGCCTAGCACAGTGTGGCTGGTATACCTGCCCCTAGGAAAGATACACCTGACCCTCTGAAGGCCATGGATCAACAGCTAATCCTGGGTCCTTCCTGACAGAGGGGGACCCAAGTGAGCCTATGCTCGTACTGGGGCCAAAAGACACCTCAGCCCTTCCAAGCCCCAGGTTCACCTGCTCCTTAGGGTTCTCCTTAGGTTCCTTCTTTTCTCTAATCAGAATCAAAATATTTCTGTCAAATCTCCAAAGAGTCAAGTCTCTGCTTTCTCTTATCTCTGTTTTGCTTAAGCTGTCTTACTATCTTTGTATTCTGAAGTACACCTTCATGATGACTGTGACTGCATAGAAAATTTTTAATTAAATCTGTAAGAGCCACC